CAGGTTCGAGGCCGGCTTCGGTGGCGGCGAGCGCAACAGAGTCGCCTTCGCCCACGGCAGCCGCGATTTCCAACGCTTCGCTCGACGACGCACCCGTCTGTTCCGAGGCGACCGTCGCTTCTTCGATCACGTCGGCGATCTGCGAGTTGGACAGGCCGGCGTCTAACGCAGCTTCCGCGGCAGACGCTGCGCAAGCGGTTCTTTTGAATATTTTTGGTTCTCTTTGGGCGAATCAAAACAGCTTCTAGTACAGAAGTACCAGACGTTTTTTGCCAACGTCAAGTGTAAAGTCTAGTTAGTCTTCAACGCATTGCATACAAATTTCCATATAACCTGGAATACCACTTTGTCGAGTTTTTATCAAGTTGACTGTAAAATACTACGTAGTACCATTTTCATTTTGGTCGTGCGTGTGAGCTCTGATCGACATCAGTCACGATATCGATCGCTGACCGTCCAGTGTCCCATCAGCGAGGGGTGTCAAACTGGTTGTCGAACGACTAAGTGGTAGACGCGACGAGGTTGAAGTCGGCGGTGGCGGCATTTGCCGATGTGGCAGCTATTGTCGACGACGAGAGCAGTCCGTCAGATCGCAATGTAGTGTGGAATCGAGGAACCTGTCTGCATGCATATCCAATGCAAGTCGTGCACAGTAAGAGGCCGTCGTGCTGGTGTATGACAGATGGCGACGCAACAGGCTTTGCCGCTTCCACTCGGAGCGGAATCCCGAGAGTTTACCGAGAAATGGTGAACATGGTCAGCAATTCTACGATGTATGCGTGAAAATGTCGGTGGACCGCCTCTCCAAGCGACGCTATAGTTCCAATTGAGCAATGCCGTCGCCCAGCATTGTCGGTCCGTGCGCGCGCGGAAGCCTGGAGGGGGTCTATTTTAACGCGCGGGCGGTTTCATATGCGTTCGCGACGAAACTGGGACGGTCGACTCGATGGAGACGAGCGATGACTCGACAGAGGCGCTCGAGCAAGAGTGGGCAGCTTCTATCGTTCAGCATTCGTGGAGGGCATACACCCAGCGGCAGTGGTCAACGTGGCGCCAGCACGTGACCAGCCACGGCGACGTGAACGAGAACGCCGCGTCAACTGACCAACGTGTCCGAGCGTTGAATGTGAACGACCAACACGCCAGCAATGGTGGCGATGATGTGGTGCCTTTCCGAGAAAACCTCGTATCTCAGCTGCATTCTTTAGCGTCTGTATCTTCAGTGCCCAACAACGGTCCCCTGCAGCCCCTTTGCCACGACACGCCACCAGCGAGCCAGACGCCTCAACAAGGTACCGCCACTCCCCGTACTGCACAACTTCGTCAAGCTGACTGGCTTTGGGCTGACTGTGTCCAGTCCATGTAGCCGAGCCCCATGTGGACGACGACGTCGTGCATGCACGACTCGAGTCAGATGCATTGTTCCAATCGCTCAAGGCCAAAGAGAGCGTGTTGGACCTGCAAGTGAACGTGCTCCTGCAGCAGCAGCAAGCACTCGAGGCGCGACAGCAAAAGCTTCGGCAGATCAAAGCTCAAAAGGACCAAGAGGCCAAGGAGCGAAAGAAGCTCGCCAAGCTCCGCGCACGCGAGTGCAAGGAGCTCGAGGCGCGAAGGCAGGCGGAGGCCGAGAAATTCCGGGCCCTCGAAACCATGCACATCATCAAGACGGTGGACGCGCCACCGGCGATTCCAAAGACGCATCAGACACCAGTCCGCAAGCGACAGCCAATTGTCCACGTCGCCGACGTGACTCCGATGCCCAAAATGAAGAGCTATGCCAAGCTACCTGGATTGCAGGTGAGTCAAGCAGCTCCATCTATAGCGTGACGTACATTGTATCTCTAAACAATTGGAATGCAGCAGGGAGCGTCCATCGACGACGCGGCAGGTGACAAGCCCGTCGTGGCCACCAAAAGCAGTGCGTTCAGCAGTGAGCGCCAGGCCATGTCATGCTATGCGCAAGACCTAACTCCCCTCGTGAACGGCGAGAAACCGAGACGTGTCAAAGTGCCCGAGCCAGTCGTCGCCAAGCCACAGTCCACGACGAAGAAAGCCAAGCCGAAGCGCGTCCAGAAGCCGTCAAAAGTCAAAATCGTCGAGTCCATAAACCAGTCGTTCGACAACCAGTTTGACGACCTGGACACACCCTTGTCCATCTCCATCCCCTCTTCGTACACCGCCACGGTAGCCCCCTTGACCTCCTGGGGTGACGGCAGAAGCATGTCATGGTGCTGCATACGTTTAGAAACGCAACGAGTTTCCCCCAAACGCCAAGTACTCCACAGCCACCCCGTTGACCGCCGAAATCAAGCACATCCCCTGGGCGTCAACGTACACGAAGGAGTTCGAAGCACCCGTGAGCGCCATGCAGCAGGACTTTGAAGCCACGTTGCACGAGGTGCTCAAGCAGCATGCGACGACGCCCACTACGACCAGCGCGAGCGATGCGACACGAGTTGATCTTCCAAACCACGTGAGCCACCCCCCGCCGTCGTTGGCCCCACCGTCTTCTATCTCCATATCGGTTGGATCTATGCATGACGATTGCACGATTGTGACCAAAAGAATGGCTGCTATAGGCTGCGCGAAATATTGGCCCCAGTCAAAACTGTGCATTGGCGGCAACGGTATCCCGGCGAGAGTACTTGCTCAACAAATACGGCAAAGTCGACATGGATGCCTTCAAGTCGTCGCCAACAACGACCGCAACCCCCGACGCCCCCGCACACACGCCAAGTGACATTACGTCGCAACGCACGTACGATCGACTTCAGTCGATCTTGGCAAAGTACAATATCGCCACAACCTCCACCACACGTTCTGAATCGAGCAGCACACAGAGTCTGCTGGCTAAGTATGCTCCCGCAGCCCATACAACATGAACTATGTCCCCTTAATCAGTTGAGTTGCACGCCGGTACAGGTATCTGGAGGTACATAACGAGTGAGGGTCAGCGGTCGGCAACGTTTCCCACGTCATAATCTCATGTACGATCAAATTTGAAAAAGGATGTTACTTTAGTTGGCGTACACTTGCAGCGACGACACGGTGCGGTTTTCACGGGGAACATCGACGGTCCAGGGGCCGCCTTGGGTCGCCGTGTACGCGAGCAAGACGTCCTTCTTGGGGTCGTTGACGGTGTTAAACTGCTTGGCGCCGTCCATCCAAATCGGCAACTTGTTCTTGACTTCCCCGTTCGAGAGGACGGTGAACCAGTACGTGGTCGACGGAATCAGGACGATCGGCGAGGCAGGGAACCATTGAAACTTGACTCGTTTGGCGAACTTGTCAATGGGGATGCGGGCAGGTTTGTCCGACTTGGTACAGTTCGGCAAGCCTACAAGACAGCCATGAGCCCTCCATTGCGATGTCCCGATCAAAGCAGTTCCGCACCGTCGACGGAAGGGCATAAGTCAGCTTGCAGCCACAGCGACGTGTTGCCTCCCATGTTGATCGTGTTCAACGTAAAGTTGACAAAATCGAGGGTGAGCCACGTCGGGTTGCACGCGGTGTCTGCGGCCGGGAGGCTGCGGAATTGCACGGCAACGCCTTGATCTTTCGAGATGGGGGTGCCCGTGGCGCCCGTGTCGAGGGGGTCGAGGTTGTCAAACACGACTTGGGACGCGGCTGCGGCGTGGACGAGACCGGCAAGGAACTTCATGGCAGGGGAGGACGCGGGGAATGTTAATATGACGGTGGTGAACAATGCCACCTGGTGTTGTTGGTGCCGAGGATTGCCTTGGTCCGATACGATGTCTGACCACATGCACCGCGACAGCTCCTAGGTGCAGGTTCAACATTGTGGCGGTGTCGCCACCCATCATGGATGGTAAAAGTGCAGATCCTAAATTTTCACCTTGCAACTACAGTATACCTGGTGAAATAAATATATAGCACACATTTGTCGTATCTGGACTACATGACCTTCACCTCGTGGAGATTACATGACACGCTGGCATTCCAATCGACCAGGAAGTTCGACTGGCGAGTTCTACGGTGTGCACCACCGCATCAGGCGGCAGTTAGTAGGCCGGGTGGCATATTGCGGCAAGCGCACACCAAGCAATCTGGTCAGGCTTCTCGAACCACGTAACCAGAAGATCTGGTCACTCCTTGTCTTCTCGACGGCGGCGGAGGCGCAGGGCTCAAATGCCAGCCGGTGAGCGTCACCCAGCAGCACTTGAGGGAGGCGTTGAGCTTTCTGCTTCACCGCAATAGTTGACCAAGCTCGTTCATTTGCCTCGCTGTCCACGCGAAAGACCTCGGCTCATACGTGCGGCGATGGTTAATAGAAAAAGGGGTTTAGATTGGGCGGGTATACACCATCTAGATTGCGACGACTTGCATCGACGACACGGTGCGGTTGTTGCGGGGGGGGTCGGCGGCCCAGTCGCCTGCGTCGGACAGCGTGAACGCCGACAGGACGTCGTTGGTTGGATCGTTGTCGGTCGTGAAACGCTTGACCCCGTCCATCCAAATCACGGCATGGTTCATCTTTTCGGCATTCGATAGCACGACGAACCAGTACAGCGTCGAGGGGGCCATTTGTACGGTGGCGCTCGGTACCCATTGGTACTGGATGCGCTTGGCAACGATCCGGATGGGAAGACGCTCGGGGTAATTGGTGGAAGGGCATTTTGGCAATCCTACCATGACCCCGTCAGCTCCAGTGCATGAGGCGGCATGTACCGTTCTCGGAAGGGCATAGCGCAACCTCCAAGTACGTTGAGTTATTGTCGACATTCTCTGTCGACACGGTGAAGTTAACGTAGGCGAGCTGGGTTGGCGCACCGCACGCGTCCAGGCTGCGGAATTGCACGGCTAGACCTTGGTTGTACGTGACCGGTGTCCCGAAGGACCCGCCGGCGGCAGGCGGCAAGCTATCAAAGACCAATTGCGACGCCGTGGCGACTTGCAGCAAGGTAGAGAGGGACTTCATCGGATGACGGGTGCGGTGGTTAAGCCAAATTACACAGTGCGACTCTGGCTAGCACAACCTGATTTTGGGCAAGTCGAAAAGATGAAAAGTTTACCCAAACCCCTTGCTTATGGTTCCCTGTCGACAATTTGGAATCCAAACCGTGCGCGATTGGCGACAGGTACAGGCGAATCTCATGTGCTGAGCTCAAATACGGCTCGTTGCGCCGTGGTCAATATGGCGGAATATTTGTGGCACTGTTGCCGAGCGTACACGAGGTACTCGCGGTTGAGGACAAACGTAAGTGCTCGAGACCTGCGTGCACACGCGCTTGCTGTCGGGCTAGCTATGTTCAGCGGATACCACATCGCTTTCTAGCCGAGGTTATGCCTAGCAGTGGGTTCTATCACACATGAAGGCGTCACGACTTACGTTAACGCATTGTGCATTACACTTGCTGCACCCATGTCGACCTGCACGGTGTGCGTTTGTTGGTGGCGCCGTTTCATCGACCGCCGCTTCAATCGCCGGCACGTTACACTGATAACGGCTTCCTTTCGCCAGCTCCACGGGACCATCCACCAACATGTCCTCGACAGTCGAGAAGACGGGAGTCGTCCGCCCATTCGGGATCAAAACCGGCAAATCGTCCGACTTGGCTGCCCGGAACGCGGCCCTGACCCCGCGCCGGTTCAAAAAGTTTTCGCTCAGCGAAACGTGGCTCCCACTCAAGGTACATTGCTCGGTCAGGACTCGGTCGCTGCTCACGCAGGAGCGGTCGTCGTAGAAGTCCTCGCCTGCCTTTGACTGCTTGTTTCCAGAGAACCACTCGAGCGACGTGAAAAAGGTACGAACTGGAGCCATCGCCCGTCTGACGAGCCCGCCCCGTAGATTAAGTACGCGACATACCCGTACCATTACTGGGGCCTGGCACTCATCTTGGCGATCGGGGCCTCCATCTTTGTCTACGCCCTGTGTTCGACGAGCAACTTTCGCATCAAGAAGGGGTTCTGGTGGCAATACATGATCATCGTCGTCCTGTACATGTTTGCCGCCATCAGCTTCTTTCTTCCGCGCGTCGAAGTGTTTCGAATGAACCACACTTACATCACCGTGTGCCGCCCCAAGACGTATCAGTACCTCCTTTGCCTGTACTGTGTGCGGGAAAATGGCCCCCACAACTGACTACTTCTCGATCGTTAGCACCCGGGCACTCGAGTTCGAGCGCAAGCTAACGGACGTCCGTTCCATCATGGTCGAAGAATCGGTACGTTCGACGACGCTAGCCAAGGGGAACGTCGCGGGCGCCCATGCGTTTGCCGTCGTCCGGTCCTGTCGGCGCACACGAATCATGAGCTCGCGTGCGTGTAGGGGGAAAAGATGGGCGAAATCGACACGCGATTATACACGATTCGGTTTGAATTCTCCGATGGCGTCGTTGAAACATTGCTGGAACATTACTCGAAGCGAGTCGCGATTCGCCGCTGCCGCAGCTTGAACTTCCTTTTGGCCGCGTACACACCTGCGTCGCCGATCAAACCTCGCACGCCCAAGGCTGCCGCCACGGCGAAAATCGAACTGGAAGTTCCGCCTCCCGTCGTGACATAGGCCATTGCGTGAGGGCTGCCCACGGTAGCTCGCTATCTGTCGTCAACTATATCCTTGATTCCCACTGTCCTTGCGTCCAAATGCGATCGATAGGCCAAGCAGACCAAGGGCTTTGACAAATGCTCCCAGTGCATGTCGTCCAGGCGGTGTCGCGCAGCAGCTAGGCAATATGGCTTGGCATCGTCGAAAGTGTTTCGGAGAGCCTTGATGGAGGATTGTAGTGGTGGTGGCGCTGACCGAGCTGGTTCAATAGCGCATGCCCGTAGCTTGCAGTGCGGCACGACTATTCTAACCACCTGATTCATTCATGGCAGGGAATTTGACGGTGGAGCGCGTGTGCACTGAATGACTGACAGTGCCGTTCTCTCAACCACGACGTTGACCGCACAGACGGGGCTAGTTGACACTACTATTCATCACGCAATCATTGTCATCGCTAGCTCTATTCGGTCCAGTTGAGCGTACGTGCGATCGCTTTCTTCCACTCGGACGTGAGCTTAGCCCGTGCATCGTGCTGCATGTTGGACCGCCACACTTTGGCGACGTGCCACGTCTTGACTAGATCATCCGTGTTCATCCACACTCCGACGGCCAAGCCGGCCGCAAAAGCCGCTCTAGAAAACCAATTTCAAATCACATTCACGCTCCTTGGAAGATGACGAAATCCATCGAGATGGCGCTTGACGTACCCCAGCGCCGTCGTCTCGGCCACAACGGGGCGCACGACGTTGGTATCGAGTATGTCCGCCTACAACGACCCTCCACGTCTGACATGCCGCCACGTAGCCAAAAGAAAGACTCCTCTACCTGGATCTGCATGAGCAAGTCGTTTTCAATCATGCCACCGTCGACACGCAAGCTAGATAGTTCAATCTTGGCTTCATCTTGCATGGCGTGCACGACGTCCATGACTTGGAACGCGACGGCTTCCAGCGATGCGCGGGCTAAGTGCTCGCGAGTGACAAATCCCGTGAGGCCGCAGATGACACCCCGGGCGTCCGACCGCCAGTACGGAGCGTACAGGCCCGAGAACGCCGGCACAAAGTAGCACCCGCCGTTGTCTGGCACGGCGAGCGCGAGGCCTTCGATGTCAGACGGCTTTGTGATGATTTTCATGTTGTCGCGTAGCCATTGCACGACTTTGCCAGCCACAGCCACACTCCCTTCCAACGCGTACACGCACGGCTCGTTCCCTAGCTTGTACCCCACTGTCGTCAAAAGTCCCTTGGTCGATGAAATCGCGTCCGTGCCAGTGTTCATCATGAAGAAGCAGCCCGTGCCGTACGTATTTTTGGCCTCGCCTGGTTTGAAGCACCTACGCCAACGAGTAAAAGCCGTGGCACATGGAACGCGCGACACCACGTTACGTTTGGCCAAACATGGCAGCTTGCTGGTCGCCCAGCATGCCGGCAATCGGGACATTCGGCAACACAAAGTTGACCGCCGTCGTCGCGTACACCTCGGACGACGACCGAATGGCGGGCAGGATGGCGCGCGGGATATCGCAAATGCAAAGGAGTTCTACATGACCATGAGTTGCAATGTACATGACCGGCCAAGACTTGCACCTTCACTCCAATCGAGCGTCGACAAGTCCATCAAGTTGGTGCGCGACGCGTTCGATACATCCGTGGCGTGGACAGCGCCGCCACTTAACTTCCACAGGAGCCACGTGTCGATGGTTCCGAACAAGACGTTGCCCGCTTCGGCATTCGCGCGAAGGCCAGGCACGTTGCGCAACAGCCACATGATCTTGACCGCTGAAAAGTACGTCGCAAGGGGCAGACCCGTTGTTGCACGGAAGCGGTTGATGTCGTGGCCTTCCAGCAGCTCGTACACAATATCGGCCGTGCGCATGTCGTGCCACACCAACGCGTTGTAGACGGGTTTGCCGGTCACCTTGTCCCACAAGAGCGAAGTTTCACGCTGGTTGGTGATACCGATCGCGCTCACGGTTGCGCCCGGGCCGTGCTTCATCGTTTGGGCAATGCATTCGTGAACGTTGGACCAAATTTGGTCGGCGTCATGCTCACACCAGCCAGGGTGGGTCTGGATTTGGTCGTGCTCGAGCTGGTGCGACGCTACGATCTTGCCTGCCGTGTTGAACAGAATGAAGCGCGACGACGTCGTGCCTTGGTCGATAGCACCCACGAGTTGTGTCGTCATGGCGGCGGCGCAGAATCCTCAATGCCATCGACGATGATCTTCCGGATACACCGTGGGTTTTCCGGATGTTCACGTTGAACTGGAGAGAATCCGAAGCGCGGCTGCACCCTCCGAGACCGCTGCGCGCGCAGGGCAGGACCGACAGCAGGCGCGGTCGCATGAGGCTTTGCAAGTTACATGCATATTCATCTAGCTGGCAAATACGGGTTGTACGGGGTGCCATTCGAAATCCAGGCCAACTTCAGAGGGCCCAAATCCAAAAGTATAGAGTGATTCGGTGGCGGCGCGCGAATGTACTTCATTGCCGTGGTGTCGTTGCGCGGAAAGGCTGCGACAAGGACAGCGGGTCGTAATCTCCACTTGTCATGGCATTAACATGGCCAAGCATTGACAGTTTGCCACGTGTGGTTGCTCCCATCCGTGACCACCGGGTTTGGAGCCAACTGCGCGACGTGTTCGTGCAATCACTAGGCTCAGTGTGCATGCTCGCTGTGTGTACGGGCTCTGAAGTGCCGTTGGTTTCGTGAAGATGAAGCTTCGTTGTCGATTGCTTCCAGCACGTTGTGAGGAACGATATGTCCCAGTTGGCCGGGACTCGCTCTTGCAAACACACAACTATGCTGTGCTTACCGGAAGCTTGGCTGGCGAGATCACGCAAAGGGAATTTCGCGCACGCCATCGACGGGACCTCTCAACTCGAAGCACCACCGCACAGTCGGCTACCCTTACAACGCACTAGAGCTTTCTCGACGTTCACTCGGCAGGCGCTTGAAGCAGGTGGCCAGCAGACAAAAGAGCGCCGAGAGAGCCTTTGCGGCCAAGTCTGTGCATGAATGCACACCCAAAACAGACACCCTGGCTGCCACACACCAGGCAGCCACGCAATGTCTCCAACGAGCTCGTTGTCTGCACGTCGACGCCAAACTTGTGGCAACACAACGACGGCACCGCTGGTTTGTGCCCAAGTGGTCAGTTGCCACCCCCCCATGTTTTGACAACCGTCCGGATAAATTTCCGTCGGCAATACTGTGTAAAATCCACCGGCTAAAGTTACCAGGTCGTAGTGTCCATCATGTTGGCTCGGGAAACGATGGTCGCGGCGGCGGTGCTAGCCGCCATCTCGATACATCCCGCCACGCCCGCCTCCACCGTGTGCCCGTATGGCAAGCTCCCTTCCGCATTCAACTCGGTGATCGTGTCGGATCCGTCGCTGTGCCCGCCGACCAACTTGACGTGCGTGGTCGATCGATCGTGCAAGTACATTGGCGGGTCCGACACTGTGTCGTGGAATGCGATCGGCGACTACTCTGGCCTGCCCCCGAATCGAACTGCTTGGTACGTGGCTGTGGTCTGGCCATGCTGATTTTGGACCAGGTCGTTCAACGGGGGCGCGGTATGTGTCAACGTAAACGCGGCACAGTTTCCATCCACGATCACGACGCTGTACGAACTCCACACTCGTTGTCGCCATGACGCATCGTCGAGTAGAAAACTATCCAACATGACGTTTCCACCTGACCTGGTCAAGCCCACGTGGCCGGCCAAGCTGAAAGAACTGTACGCAATGTTGTGTGCGTGCGGCGGCGGCGGCCTGAACCTTGTCTAGGTTCATCGAGACCACCAACATCTCGACGATTCCGACAAACTTGCCGTCAACGCTGTCCTTGTTGTACGTCCGCCGCCGCCGTCGGTGGACTGTCGAGGGTCATCAAAGTGCCCGTAGGTTTCTCGGCGGCAACTACCTCGTCGACGCCGCCGAACTCAACTACCTTCCTCGCTCGGTGACCCAACTGTACGCATCCCGGTCGACCGCGCTATCGTGAACCCACACTCTATCTTGTAGCTCGCTCGAAAACAACGACTACACGGCCCTGGCAAACCTGGACTGGTCCAACATGACCCAAGTGTACGTGCGACGTCCGACTGTGGTCTCTAGCGGTGGCATGACCAGGTACTTGAGCCGCAACCCAAAGCTCAAGGCGCTCTCCAACATCACGTTCAGTTCCAAGATCAAGAATCTGAACCTGGAGAACTTGTCGCTGACTTCGTGGATAATGGACCCTTTAACGTTTGTCGCGCTCAACTCGTCGCTCCAGCCCAACAACACTGCGGAAGACTCGACCTTCACGGACGGCTCAAAAGCATTCACGGGCTACAACTACTACAACCTGGCCATCACGACCAGCATGAGCGAATGCAGCTCGTACCGGGGGACTCTAACCGAGCTCTGGCCGGACAAGCGGTTCCGCAACTTTAAGTACAAGGACTCGGTCTTTACCGTGTGCGTGCTTCCGAGTAAGTGTGGCCGAGGGCCTCGCGTAACCAAATGGTCACGTTTCATCCGCGTAGGTGCAGCGACCACGGCGGTCCCCACGGCATCCCGCACCCCAGGCGATGAGGGCGGAGGGCTTGGCACGAGCGCGATCGTCGGGCTTGCTGCTGGCGTTGGCATCGTTGTCGTCGGCGCCGTCATTTTTGTATGCGTTCGTCGGCGCCGGGCGGCAAAACCCAAGTCGCCTGTCTTCGAAACGATGTCGACGCCAGGGACGTTGGCAGGAACGGCGACCTCGATCGATGTCAACATGAATTGTTTGCAACTGGTTCGGATTTCCAACAACGAGCTCGTGGTCGGGCCTCAAATTGGCGCGGGGGCGTTTGCCTCGGTGCACAAAGGGCAGTTCCAAGGCCGCGCGGTGGCCGTCAAGGTCCTGCTCAAGGATCGCATCACGACGGCGTACGTGCAGTCGTTTGTGGACGAGATCGTGTTGATGAGCCAGTTCGATTCGCCGCACGTTGTCAACTTGATTGGGGCGGCGTGGACCCGCGTGGCTGACGTCAAATGCGTCATGGAACTCATGGACGGTGGCGACTTGAAGGACTTTTTGGACCACCACACGCCGGCGCAATTTCCGTGGGCCGACAAGTATATCCACGTGCTGAGCATCGTGGACGGGCTGAGCTACCTCCACTCGATGAATATCGTCCATCGCGACCTCAAGTCGCGCAACGTGCTGTTGGATTCGACCAAAGGCACCAAGCTGACCGACTTTGGCATTTCCAAGGAAGACATCCAGGCGACGATGACGGTCGGCGTCGGGACGTTTCGTTGGATGGCGCCCGAGATGCTCCAAGACAAAGGCTACGGCGTATCGGCCGACATGTACTCGTTTGGTACGTGTGCATGCTAGTGTGCTTTGTTCATGCGACGGGTGTAGGCATGGTCTTGTCCGAGTTCGACACGCATCGCACGCCGTACGTAGATTTGAAAAACCCCATCACGCGCCAGCCGCTCGCAGACTCGGCCATTATCTTGAAAGTTGTGTCCGGCAGCATCCGCCCGACGTTTACAAGCGACTGCCCTGCCTGGATTGTCGACCTGGCCTCCAAGTGCCTGCTCCTGGATCCGTCCCAACGGCCCACCGCCATGCAAGTGTCCCACACGATTCGATCCAAGCTCAAGGAGTTGTCGACGCGCCTCTTTTCAATCTAGATGTTTTGCTGAACTCGCTTCTTCTACGTCGTTTCTTGGCACGCCCGACCCGCATTCGTCGCGCTAGTTGGGCTAGACGCACAACCATGCCTGCACCTTTCGCCGTCCCGACAACCCCGAAACCCCGTCGTGACCACTGTGGCAAGTACAGCGCGCAATCAAGTTGCCGAGCACATGGTGTGTTCGACAGGTAAAGGATGTGGGTGTGGCGCCTTGTCGTGTGCGGTGGCAGCGGCGCCATAGACGACCCCTGTCACGCTGAGGCCGACCAGGAGGGGCGTGCCTCGTCGTGCAAATATCTTCCAGCTCAGCCATGCTCCTACCGAGAGTTCTCTCAACCGCCTAATCGCAACACACACACGTCTTCCTGTCGAACGTGACCGCCATATTGGATTTACGTTCGTCGTGTCCCAAACCGTGTTTGAAAAACGATTCTTGGGGGTGGACAAGCAATCGTGACGACACCCAAAGGAGCGCGTCATCGGCTCAACGTCTTGGGTCCTTATTGCGAGTCGCGCAGGTCACAGCCGCCATGCCGCCGTGATGCCGTTGTCTCGGTCGTCCGCCGAGGCCGCCGACCGGCTGTTCGGTGGCGGGTGTACTAATGCGCTTCTCGTGTTGCATGTAACGTCACATCTGCTTTTTAAAATATGCATGTTTTATTTAGGATAAAACACGCATTCTCGACCACGTTTCGAATGAAATTCGAATAAAATGATCTCGATTGAACGACAGTCCAGCACCCGGCCGCGTGACAATCGTCCATGTGGCGTCTGGCGATTCAAAGCATTGCACAGAATCGTGACGGGCCGAGCGCTCTTGTCGACGACTCCAAGACCAGGATCGACCCACGTCCATGCCACCACTCGTGCGGCATGCCCACGTCCGTCAATGCGGCCGGAACGAGCCACGCAAGGACCCGTTTCGGTGTTCATTTCGTTTTGATTGGCTAAAATACACGTATTGCAAACATTTCCAGCCAATCACAGTGGAAGGGTTCAGCATATCATTTAAGTCAGCTGGAGCCACGGCTCAACATTTCGGGATTTGCGTCGACAGACGTCGAAGAGGATGATGTTGAGGGTCGTTGTCGCTGCGGCCGCGGCCGTCTCGGCGGTGGATGCGCAATGTGACTACTCGAGCTTGGCGGCATCCCAGGTGTTGATCTCGGACAAGTCGATCTGCCCGCTGGTGAATTCGACGTGCGTGGTGGACAAACGCACGTGCACCGTGTTGCCTTGGGGATCGTACTGGGATGCGATCGGGACATTCAAGGACGCTCCTGCCCAATTCTACTCTTGGTACGCGTGTCTCTATCTCGTTGTGATCCAGTTCTTGGGTGCCTGACGACGTGGTAGGTTCTTCACGGGCGGACGGAGCGTGATCAACCTCGACATGGCCACATTCCCCGATCGTTTCTCGGAGCTGTATGGACCTTGTATTCATGGGGATATCTATCGTTGACACGCATGCACTTGCACGATAGATCGTTCACAAACATCTCGTTGCCCGCCGAATCCAAGTTGCGGCCATGGCCAACCAACTTGACCAAACTGTAATGGAATTCGCGTGCCATGCGCCGCCTGACCGGGTGGATAGGACCATGCAAAATGGCAACCTGAAAAAGATCAGTGTGCTGTACCCCCTCCCTTCCAAGCTCTCCGTCCTGTACGTGCACGTTTTGCCGCGCCGCCGTCTTTTACGACTGTGGGTTGGTAGGTTCTTGGGTGCCAACTACTTGTCGTCCGTCGAGGACCTGCGCACACTTCCTCGCAGCATCACTCGCTTGTACGGCAGCATCAACGTTGGTCCGTGGAGGCTCACATGATGGTCAGGTCGCTCCAAAACAACGATTACACGGAGCTGACGAACCTCGACTGGACCAAGATGACGTTGGTGTGAGTGGTGCCACTGCTCAACATCGTGGTCTCATCGTCTTGGCGCAGGTACCTCATCAACTGCAACCTCCTGCGATCGATCAACATGGTCAAGTTCAGCACGTCGATCGTGCACCTGTACGCCACACCATCGATCATGACGCCACTCACAACGGATGGCAGGGACTTGTCGTCTGTCACGCTGACGAAATGGATCATGGACAACAGCACGTTTATCGCGCTCAACACGACCCTGCGTCCCAACAACACGGCCGACGACTCGACGCGGGACGACGGCACGCAGAGCTACACGGGGTACGGCTACTACAACACCAAGATCACGACGAGCGGAGCCGACTGCGCCGCCGCCAACGGCGTCATCCAAGAACTGTGGCCGGACAAGTCGATGCGCAACTACAAGTACGCGTCCGAAGTGTTTAAAGTGTGCGTCGTCCCAGGTACGATGCCACCCACGCGTTTGGACCATCCAACATTTCGTTTGTGGCTAGACGTAGCTACGTCATCGACGTCAGCGCCCGTCTCGACTGCCCCGCCGAAACCCGACAACACGGGCGTGATCGTTGGCGTGATTGTCGGGGTCGTGGTGGTCTTGGGCGTTGGGGTGTTTTGCTTTGTCAAGCGGCGCAAACCCCAGCCAGATGACGGATACCCCGAGCGGTCGAGCCGCGGCAAGTCGGGAGGCAACCAGGATCACTACCACCAACTTGACGGTGGCGACAAAGGTTCCAACAATCGGCGGTCCGTCACTCAAAACGGAACAACGCACAACTCGGGCAACCGGTTCTCCAACTCGGGAGGCCAGTCGATGCCGTCGTTGACGTCGACGGATGAGAGCAACATCAACTTGGCGCCGCTCGCGCTCGTCCGCATCGAGGCACGGGATGTCTTGCTCCACCAAAAGCTCGGATCGGGTGCGTTTGCAGAGGTGTGGCGCGGCTCTTTTCTCGGCGATGATGTCGCGGTCAAGATGCTGCATCCAAGCCGCGTCACCGTCACCCAGATTCAATCCTTTGTGAGTGAAATCCAGCTCATGAACTCGTTCGACTCGCCGTACATTGTAAAGCTTGTTGGCGCGTGCTGGACGCGGCCGTCGGATTTGCAATGTGTCATGGAGCTCATGGACGGCGGCGACTTGAAGGACTACCTGGACACGCACTCGCCGGCGCAATTTGCCTGGATCGACAAGTACAGACACATTTACCAGATCGTCGAGGGCCTTGTCTACTTGCATTCGCTCAACATTATCCACCGCGACGTCAAGTCGCGCAACGTGCTGTTGGATTCG